CTCATCAGTACGGCTTTTTTTTAAAGTCATGTTTGTTTAGATGTTGAGTAATAAAAAAAAGATTTAATGATTCATTTGATAACTCCCCAGTTATTGCATGAATAATGAAAATGTTCCACAATATGGCATGATGGCAGCTTTGTTTTGTAAACAGCAATTAAACATATGGGTGCTGGTTAAAATTGCATTAAAATATGAAAAGCAGCCAAACTTTTTTGAATATATTTTCTGTGTAATTATTATATTACTTTTAGTTATAGGACTAATAATTAGTCATTGTGGTTAACAGCATTCTGTCCTTGTGATTTCAATGTGTTTTCAGAAGCTAGGGTTGCTGCATGTTATAAATGAGCATTACGTAAATAATGTTGTTTTTACACATGGGCATTAAATACGTGTAAATAAAAAAAAGTACCGATACACGCACACCGTCAAAAGATATATTACGGTAGACAAATCCCCGGTACCTACTTAACAGCGCAGTACATTGCACAGCAAATCATTGTGATGAGGACCACAATCACAGTATTTGTTTTTATGTTCTGAGTGATAATGTTGACATCACGCAGTAGGCACTAATTTTACGCGGATTTAATATAGTGGGAGACCCATGCCAGGTGGAGATTCCAATTAAACGTCGATTGTCAGTTAATTGCGCAGTATGCTTATGCCTGCACTGCTTCTCCCATTCGAACAATTTCATCACACAAACGGCATGTAAAAAAAAGATCCACGCATGTATTAATTACTTCGCCTTTTAGAAATATGACAAAAAATAATGCATTCCAACGTTCATAGCTACATTGGATACAGAGTGGCCGTGGTTACAGATGCCCTGTTGTGAAGACATCTACCATTGCAATTCTGGAGGGTGTCTTGCTTTATGTTTACCTAACACGGCCAATACCTTGGCATGAAATCGCTTGCTTTCATGGGTAATAGCCAGGGTTAAAATAGAGCAGAGCAATCCCAGTGTGGCTGGGGTAAATTTAAATATCCATCATCCCATGCAGATTTGGCCTTGCTTCTGTGGGGCTGACTGTGCAAGAAATGATGTGTTCGCCCAAGTGTAATATTCCTAACATGTTTTATTTTAATTATTAAAGTATTTCAACCGGAACATTCCTTGAGATGGAACATTTCGTTTGCAAAAGGTGTCCAGGGAATAAATTAATACGAACATAGCAAACATGTATACTGTGCAAACATTTAAAATGTATAACTTATATCATTTATATTAATCTTACATTTTAACTTTTGAAGCTGATAGGAAACATTAATAATGAATTGCGACCTATTTCTGTGCCATGATGATTTGAGACGTGCTGTTTCAGGAACGAGTGAAAGATGCAGCACAGGCAATTAGGCCAATCAAAAAAACCCATGATTGAGTAATGAATTATGACAATCATTGTAATATATGCAACAGCAGCTGCGATGAAGAGATTGATGTTGTTTCAAACCTGAAGGAAACACAACATTATCGGAAGAAGGCTTAAACAGATGAGGGTAACATCATCTGGAACTTTCATTGTGCATCATCTATAACTGTCCAAGGTCACGAGTGACAATGGAGGTCGATAGAAATACATCTATGCCCCAATTTTTCTTTGACTACAAAGTGTTCTTATTGTGAGTAGCAGCTTATCCATGTTGCTATATTTGCTATGATCCAGGCAACAATGAACTGTGGTCCCAAGGCACTGCTTTAGTCAAGACACTACCATCATAGAGGGGTATGGTGAAGCCTGTAAGAGTAATTGAAGTCGAATTCTCTGTTAGAAATTTGCCAAGGAAATTAACATATCTTAAGAGCCAAGTGGTCAAAGAACTAAATCTACTAATCCGGATTTCTGTGAGTCAAACAGTTACATTCATGTCTGTTCTGTAATGTCATTAATCAGCACAATCTACTGCCTGTTAGGAAGTGGATGTCAAAGAACTAATAACGTAAAGTGGGGATAACAATCTGATTAATATGCTTATTCGTGTTTAATTGGCAGTAGAGATGATAATAATCAAGACCCGTGGAATATCAATGTTGCTACAATAATGCTTATCTCACCTCATTCAGGATTATTCTGTTACAGGTCTATGGTGATGTCTATGGTGTGATGCAAACCTTCGTATGGAGCAATATGCAATACTGTTATATTACATGCGAATTCCATTTGCAAGTGTCATAGTCAAATCACCCACCCGTGCATTTATATAATATAATACATGAGGAAGACTCTATGCACCAAAATATGATCTTACTTCTTGAGTCATTATATGCCAGTTCAATAGAATTTCATGACAACGTAGCATGAGCTTGTTATTGGATTGTATTTAGAACGCTGTTCGTATATAAGTGACATAGGCTGGCATAATAGCTATGTGTGTAAATTTGATAATACAATACTGTATTTGTTGTGGATTTTGAGTCGACAGTTATTAATAAAGCAGTTATTTATAAATTGCGGTATTTTGTTGATTTTAAAAAGGGATTACATTTTAATATGTTTACGGTGCTTTTTAGATATGCACATTCATAAAATATCCCCGCAAGTTCAGCATTAATATTAGCAACTTAAGCACCGATGCTTTCACTGTGGTCATTAGCAATCGTAATGCCTTGACGTTCGTGCCATGTCACTAATGAAGTGAGATGCAGCGTCTGATCAGGCGCATTTCAATCTCTGTCGCACTGCGCTCTTTTCTGTTGCTGCTGCAGTGCAAACAGGAGTAAAGTAATCTTCTAAAAATGCAATTCGCAATTCCACTGCCATGCTCCTACTGGGTTTCTACAGAGCCAAGGTGTCAGTCACATCCAGGGGGAATGCAGCATAACAACTCACTAGCGGTACCGGTAGGAATATCAAAAGAACTCCAGAGGTGGCTATTGATTTTCGATACTAATTGTGGTGTTGTGCAGAAGGGTGGGGAAAACATAGAGTGGAGTGAGAGTTGTGAGAGGGGACAGGGACAGCAGGAAATACAAAACATGCAAAGGTCAGCCTGTCCATCACATGCAAATATCAACAATGAATGCTCAACATGTGTTCCCTTGGCATTTAAAAATGGCAGTGTCATGTTAATATAGAAAACAGTGATTATTGGTTTAGCCCTTGCAGCTGCTTCAATAGTAGGTTGGGTACATATGCGATTATGCATAGGGCCTTCCTGATGCAGAGGAAATATCGGCTGGATGCATGGTCTATACAATACACCGAGGTTAATGTTGGAAAATGTTACATTACACGTATCACTTAGGGTGGCATTCAATATATTGGCCACTGTCAATAGAACTGGGAGGACATAACGGTGCACCAGGATGCAAAAAACAATTAATTAAAGCCTGCATTGATTTGAAAAACAGAGCCAGTCTGGGTTTACTTGTCTGCATTGCCGAGTCAGCTCGTCATCCTGGGATTTACAACAGATGCATTCACATGTGTGGGCAATCTCGATAACCTAAAGCAATCTCTCAACCACAGCCAAAAACCTATATAGGTGCAGCAAATAATTCAATACTGCTCCAATGCTCCGTGTTCTTTTCTGACACACACACACACACCCCACCCATTATTTGTCAAGCTTCCCTATCATCAGACTCCACAGGTTAGATGTAATTATTCAGTTTGCATTATGGAAGTATCCACTGGGAGACAAAACATTGGCTATAGTTTATGATAGCAATGATTAAAGAGCCATTTTGGGGTTGTGACCATAATCCTAACCTGAACTCAAAATCCAATTTCTATTTTCTTCAAATGAAACGCAGTCCTTCTACAGAATGTCAAATAACAGCCATAACCGTGCTCAGACTATATCCATTCTTGATTACTTCTATCAACTCCTCTTTCTTTATTTTTTGGCGCGCAGTAAACGAAAAGGCCCCCACGCTGAACGTGAAAACTCAAACCCCGCCCTGTAATAATGGGAAGCTTTTTGGTTGCAGAAAACTGGGATTCATAACTAACCAACGCGTGGGCACCCTGGCAAGAGACCTGCGGCTGCATTTGAGCCAATCAAGCACGAGGCACTGCATGCGCTGCAACATCCCCCCTGTGGCTCGTAGCAAGCGAAGGCTATCGCTGCGTTTGTGTACAAATTCAGCAGCAATATCTATGGGACTTTTTAGTTGTTGTTATCAGTATCAAAGTATAGCAAACATAAGAATGGGTTTTACCCTTTTGTGGCAATAACATAGGTTTTATAATGTTCAAACACTAAATAGATACATTTTGCAAGGAATCAAGTGTGCATCAACCACACGTACTTATGGTAAAACATGCACACAAACATGCTCTAATAATATATGATGCATCGTTTTGAAAACTGATTGGCCTACATCAGAGGCAGCAATACTTGCTGTCACAGTACTGTATATCCCTCACCCGAAAATAATTGGTCCTGTTTAACCCAGTTTGTATTCATAAACCTGCGTAAGTTTGCATTATCAACTGCTTGTTGAGAAAGTGAGCACAATTTGTATACAATTATGCTTCCTTTTCAACATACCGGTTTGCTGCAAAACAATATCAATTGGCATATTCGTTCTTGTGACAAGTTGATTTGTTTGGCTGATTTGGGTGGAGGAGGGTTGCACTGCTCTAATTGGCACTCTACTCACACACGATCTAACCCAAACAACTAATCACGGATCGTAATGCGAGTGGTGAAAACCTACATATCAAATTAACTCAACAAGTGTTGACTTGGATTCAGATGGTCATGTGGACAATGTTCGTCATGGCTGCTACGATGCATCAACAGGGTAATCAAATACTTGCCCTGCCATTGGAATATAGAATTACCATCACCGGCTCAATGATAATTTGAGCATGAATCACTTTAACCTCACAAGTGGAAAAGACACGATTGGCTCAAATGCAAGAGGGCATGAATATGCCATCTGGTTACAATGTTGAATTCATACAATTGATTTTACATGTTCAAATGGAGGCTCCATATGCTTAGATTAAAATCTAAGTGGTGTGTGCGGCGTGGCTCACCGCCGTGGCCTCGGCCCGAATGCGCTCGTTGTGTTCCTTGGCGGCCGCCCTCTCCGCCTTCTTCTGGAGCTGGGGCCCCCTGCCGAAGAAGATGTAGTTGACGAGCGCGTACTCAAGCAGCGCCAGGAAGACGAAGCAGAAGCAGCCCATGAGGTAGATGTCGATGGCCTTGACGTAGGGGATCTTGGGCAGCGTCTCGCGCAGGTGAGTCGAGATCGTGGTCATGGTAAGCACCGTGGTGATGCCTGCACGCCGCGAAAAAAACGCCCGTCGGAAAGCAGGATTTGATGGAAGCAACTTCTGGGTGGCCCCTGAGGGCCAATGGTTGTCGTGGTGGTGGTGGAAATGCCAAATTACGAGAAGATACATTCTTAGCGTTTACTCATCTTAACCCGTTTCGCTTCATGATGATGGTCTCTCTGTATTGTCTTCGACACTGTGATGCGCAATAAATGTTTGTTACAGTGGCTGTGGCCAAGTGACTTACAGATAGCCAACCAAACCTACATTCATTCAAAGCAGGATCGCTATTGCAGAGGTTCTCTTAACTCTTATTTAGGCTGTAAATAAAATGTATAAAGTTGAAGGCATGTATCTTTGTTAGTGATCCCCAGGAACCCTTCTTAAAGATGCAGGCAAACATTACTTAATCGGACAAAACCTCACCCAGATGGATATCTCTTTTGCAGGGGTGGTTTGGGGAAATGCCAACGAAAGATAGCGAGGCACGAAACACAACGAGCAAGGTGCATGCACAATGTGGAATTGGTTTCCCTACCGACAGAAACTTCTGCTTCAATCAACTGAATCCCCACCACCGGCTCAGGTCTGTAAACAGGAGGTGAGCACCACCACCCAATGCTCATCTGAGCAGAAACTCACTTCGTCTTTCACTTAAAAGTATTTAGCAAAGTCAACTGTGCCGACAGACACGTGCACAGACAATCACCTTTGCGTAGCCAATCACTCTAAGGGCTATTGCACCACAGCTCCGTGTGATTTCACTTCGAGCTGCTGCAGTCGAACCCAATGTGACTAAAATAGAAGTGCCATTGGAACATCAAGCAGTGCTCAAATAGTGAGCCTTGTACAGGTGCATCTGCATATGGCGAGAGTGATGTTCGGAAGCGGGTTGTGGCTTAAGGGCATTTCATGGCGAGATGTTACTACTACTACCTCACTTGGTATTCAGGAGGTCGTGGATTCGATCCCGACCCTGCCATCTGCTGTATATTTGGAGTTTGCATGGGCTCCCTGTGATTGCATGGATCTTTTTCTGTGTCCTCCGGTGTACCCCTCTACATTTAGAATCAATGTCACGCGTTTAAAGTATTTGGCTACTATACATTCCCACGTGATGATGATAAGCCACTTCATTGATCTATCATTTGTAGCCAGGTCTCTTCTGAAAAGGAGCTATACAGCTCAGAGGGCCTTACCTGGTAAAATAAAAAATAATATAGCCTAGTAGTACCGTAAAGTAAAGGACCGGGAAAGGCAGTGAAATATATGTTTCAGTCACTCATGAGTGAGATGTGAAACAGCAGAGGCAAATTGAGCACTGTCCACCATGATGTGCAGGTGGTTTGATGTGTGTCGATGATTGGTACTACAGATGGTGAGAGATCCTCACGAGCTCACCCTTTTGCAGATGTTAATGGTTTAGAATGGAGCTTTACTATTATATATTTTTCATGTTGATGATACGCTGGCAAACAGGTGACGATCTTTCTCTGGATTTTGTAAACAAGTGGCGATAGCATGGCCTAATGGTGCCGTGCCACCTACGCGTCTCCAACTGAGATGTTGCAAACAAAGATCCATTGGAAATACTTATGGTACCTGCTTTACACATTATGATGTAATGCTCGAGTAGACATTTTAAAATAGCATAAAGAAACTCAGAATTCGGAGCGATGCTTTTGGGCACCTAGTTTCTGCAGTGCGGTGTGAATAGTAGCGAAAGCAAATTCAGTACGCGTTGCCCATCTCCAGCAGTTGCTGAAAATCAGACACATGTACAAAATCTGGACACCAACTGATAAGATAAGGCATAAGCTGCAGACAATAATATTAAACGCGCACATTTGCTTGGTAATTTGTAAGATTAAACACATGTCTTTTTATCACCGTATTACTTAAATGTTGATATAAATCGTGGTCAATGATAGCAAAATGCTGCACCATTGCCAGCACGCGATAAGTTGAGATGGGGTGACATTGCATTTTTGTATTGCTTTGTCAAGCATGGTCTGAATCTGTCCAGATGAAGGTTGCTACCAATACACTACTTATGACCTTTCCTGTAAGCCTTACCATGTGTGCCATGTGTTCTGAGGAAGCTCAAATATGTTTGTGCCAAGATCTGTATCGCTGAAGCATCGACTGGCCCTACGTAAAGGTTAAGAGCATTTCACGTCGTAGAAGTTTCTCCTGTTCTGGGATGGTACTGCGAGCACTTCCCTTGGCAGAGCTCGACGTGATCCACAGTAGTTCAAAGGCAAACAAAATATCGGTGATAACTCACCGACCACATCACTGCAGTCATTCGTCCATTGACAGTATAGGCCCATCTCTATGATTGTAGTACTCCCATTCCATGAATATAGTTGTTGAGAGCTACTATATGGAACGCTATGCTGCCTCCAAGACCGTTAAAAAAAGATCTGCATACAATTCCTCCGCTAATTTGATAATTCTATCATGCATTTTGGTTCCATCATGCTCTCTAATTAGGCTAACATTCCGATTGAACAATCTGTCATGCTCTTCTTCGGTTTCATTTCATATGGCCTCTTGCATTTAGATGTGTGTGAGATGGAAGTCTGATTGCATCATTGGTTAGGGCTTGCATCCCGATGTCATGACTGCAGAGCTGGAATGCCCTCGCCCCTCACCGAGATTCTGATTGGCTGCTGGATCAAATGCAAAATATTATCACACCCATTCTCAATGGCAGATTCGTGAGAAATTTCGCTCATTAATAGAGTGCAAGGGATCTTTTTGCGTGTAAAACTTCCAACGGCAGAGATTTTCTATGAAAATGTATAAATAGACTCCTTGTGAATTGGCCTAATTGGGCTTTATTGACCTAACTATATAAAACATTACACCAAGTATATTTGTGAAAGCACAGGTAATAAAATCACTCCTTCCTTAAAGGTGCATTCGGGGCAAGCGTTCACATGTTGGATGCCCTAAAAAAGTGGTGGAAATTCCACAGTGATATGTTGGAGGCCAGTCGCTCAACAGAGCAACTACTGTTCACATTCGTCAGCAAACAACAGCGTTCTAAACTTCACAGGCATGATCAGCTGATTAAGCCAGTTGTAATTTGCCGGCGAAACGTCACGGTACTTGAATTGTAAATGATATGGGTTTACTCTCTAACACACCGGCGTGCTGAACTTGTAATGAATTGGTACATTTTGTTTACTTAACAAACCTTACACATTGGCTGTGTCAGATGGTGGTGGATTTAACGACACATTTATATTTACTCGATCTAACCCCAAAAACCCCATCTATTATGGATAATATTGGTCGCGAAAGCTTCCTACTACTGTTATTACTCCGTGATAAATTATCAGCTGAGTTGACCGTCACCCGGGATTTGTGACGTCATAGCGCCACTGGTATGGATTTACAATCGTTTTAGCATAAACCAATGTTACGTAAATTCTGATTTAATCATATTAATTATTACAATAAAATATTACTATTCCTGCCACAGAGGCTGGTTCCCCACCACAGTAAGTATGAACATATGTTGTTGCGTACTCATATACGAGTCCAGTCCATCATGAATGCGCACTCGCTGGATCAACACTGTTTAAAGTGTGCCGCAAAACTGGCTCAGACTCAACGTATGATTTGGACTACTGTGTTAGGACTGCCCATGCACAGAGAAGATTATTCGGACTCCAATGATTCAGACATGTGAAAAGCTCGTCAAAGTGATGTCCTCATCAAGTGAGCATTGAGCCAGTGCTCATCTTATGGAGGGGTGAGTGTGTTGAACTCATTTTGCACCGTGGGTAGTCAGCCGTGCTCATCGGAGGTGCGGGGGAAAGACAACAAACTTAACCACAAAAATTAACCCGTAAAAACAAAGTTTTTCCCTATAAATCCTTTATATGCGTGGCATCGGTTTTATTTTATTATTCATTTCTGTTTTTCTTGAGTAAGAGTTTCATTTTTATCACATTGGTATTTTAAATAAAATATGAAAAAAAAATCCCTAAAAAGTGGAAAATTTTGGAATTTTTTTTGTCACGAAAATAAATTGTCACGCACAACGAGTCTGTGTGCAAAATGTCAGCTCGATTGTATCATGGGAAGTGGGTTAAAAAACGACCTAAAGATTTGCACGGTCATAAGCGCGCAAGCAAGCAAGTGAACTTAATATAAAGGATTTAAAAAGCAGTTCTATCCACTTAGGCAAACGGAACTAAACTGAACTGGTGGGCTTAAGGTCCCTGTATTTATACTACTATTTATATTACAGGAAAGTTCTAGAATGTTCGAGAAGTTACTCCAAGTTTACTCAGCACTGAATCTATTTGGAATGTTCTGGAAAATAGGTACATTTAAAAATATCAATGTGGTCACAAAAGCAAAGTTTGTGGGAAATAATAGCCATTTTCTGTACTTTTGAGGCATAAGCAATTAGGAAATAACACTTACTATCCAGGAACAAAAAAAATTGTTACAGTGTTTTATGAAGAAGTGTGAAAAACACAACGTAAAATCGATCAGTGAAATAGACAAAAACAGTCATCTACAACAACAGTGAAATGACTTAGCGCAGGCGAATTGCATTGACATTATTCATAAGCGAGATCAATTTACAGCACAAAACACAAGGAACATGTCTTCATAAGAGACTCACAGTGAATTGTGAGAATCCATTATACATGCATTAAACATCATTAGAGATAAGGTTACAGTTGTATTCCGTCCGCTCTAAGGGAGCCTCAATAAAATAATTTACATTTATTATTTCCAGTTCACAAAAAACCCAAAAGCCATTGATCAATAATACTGCTCTAAAAAGGGTGAATGGAATATAACGACGTGCTGATGTCTGGGGCAATGGCTGTCTTCGTCACAGCACTGATTATTATTGTCTGTAGTCAGATTGTTCACGTTGTCTTCCTGTTTCCTTCTCGTGGCTCCTTTTGGCTGCACTTACAGCTCACTTTGTTGAGTATCCCCCCCAACTTTCAGAAATAATTCGGTTCAC